CGGTAATTATTGTGAAGAATAAAAAAGTAATCTCAAACAAAATCCCCAAACGAAAATCTTACAGGGAATAATTTTTTACTATGTTTACCTTTAGCTACACATTAGGATAAAGAAAAAGAGGATAAAGCGAACGCTGGATTTGTGCCTATTATATTGAAAGACGTTTTAGATAAAAAGCAGTTAAGTGGATCGAGTGGTATCAAATGTATTGGGTTTCGTTTGTCACACAACTCGGATTTGGACGATAAAGCTGAAGAAAGAAAAAAAAAGGGCTTTAGAAAATATGTTGAGCGTTTTTTGCACTGATCGGACAGTTCGATATTTTGACGATTTGTAAAAGAAAATATATAAAACTCCGCAGTTTACTCTAAGAAAAAATATGATTATTTTGAACATATGAACATATATTTTGAAGTTAATTGATAGCTTAATAACTTAAATAAATACTAGTTAGTATTATTATCTTCAATAAGAATACAGGGCGAATCTTAAATAAGTGCAAATATTTTTACAGAGCTGGTAAATCTCGATAGAAGAAACATTTTCTCTTTGCCATTTTTTAAATAAGTCCAAAATATCTGAGTTATTTTACTTTGAAAATTAAAAAAAAATGATTTTATGCTTAAATTTTGAGAACCACTGGATTCCTTCCTCTAAATTTAATCTATTACTTGTTGCCGTTTTATCTAAAATTATGTTTTTTAATTGAAAATTTTTATAGAATTTGAATTTTTCGAAAAAAATACAATTCTATTTAAGTTTATATTTTTAGACTCTAATGTATTTTTGAATGTTCATATAATTTTTATCCCCTTCTCCTTTTTACTTTGTAAATTATTATTTTAGGGTTATTTTCCAAATATTTATTTTGTGCTGATTATTGTTGTCACTCCAAGAACTCTGGATCAAATTTTTGTTCCTAATTCTAGACCAGATAGTTCAGTGTTGAATTTTGCTACTACATAATACACCTAATTGTACTCGGTTATTTCCTAAAACCCCAGATCCATTTCTGAAATAAATATTTGTGTAAAGGGTTGTTATTCTGAAGTCAGTTGTAGCAAAGTATCATATAAACTTTCATTTCTATATTACAACCCCTTAGGAAATTAATTTCCAAAAGGCTTCAATTGCTTTAGTTAATAAAACTTTGTACAAAATATATACTTATAGACCAGATAATTTTTCGTAGAATATTTCACCCCTAATATCACCACCCGGATCATTTTTGAAAATTCATCACCTAAGGGAACAGCTTTAAGGGGTTAGGTCAGAATTTGTATACTAGTCATAACAAACGTACGGACGAAAATTTATTACTTTTCAAACCATTAATTACTTTTCAAATTTATAGGTGGCACCCTCTACAAGTAGGAGTCACATGACATCAAAACCAAATTTTTCATGTCAAAAAACTCATAACACAATGACACCAATTTTCACTCAAATATTGACGTTACTTCAGAAATATATATATATATATATATATATATATATATATATATATATATATATATATATATATATATATATATATATATATATATATATAATATATATATTTATATATATATATATATATATATATATATATATATATATATATATATATATATATATATATATATATATATATATATATATATATATATATATATATATATATATATATATATATATATATATATATATATATATATATATATATATATATATATATATATATATATATATATATATATATATATATTTAGTTATATATATATATATATATATATATATATATATATAGTTATATATATATATATATATATATATATATATATATATATATATATATATATATATATATATATATATATATATATATATATATAACTAAATGATATATTAATAAATACACTTACATATCCCGCGGCAAGAGAATCACCTGAAAAAGAAAAATAATATTAGCAAATTTAATTTTTACATATATAAAATGTCTAAATAACAAATTTTGTCTATAGTTTCAATATTTTATTTTAAATTACAGTAAAAATATAACATTAGGCATTTCACATTTTTTAATTTTTAATAATTGATATAAAAACGACTTCTTTAAATGTACAGTTTTTCCAATAAGGTTCTTTGTGAAGATCTAGAGAGAGGTAATTTTTATATCAAATACTAATATTATCTTGAACAACCCAAGTATGAAAATCTCCAAAATATGGTAGCTTATAAAATGCATCATTGCCGGTGTCCTCAGTGGATAACCTCACTCTTGACTGTACCCAACGCCGTCACGGGTAAATGCGGTATTAAAATGACTTGCTCTAGTCTATTAAACTCAGCATGGGAGCGAAACTTGGGTGCCGTACCGCCGACACATGAACGCATTAAACAAGTGGCAACAGAGACACCTTAGACAACTCTTAAGAATCCGGTGGTTCCATCATGTTTCAAACGTTTCGGTCCTTGAAAAAGCTAACTGCGAGAGTATTGAAGTCATGATTACAAAGTCCCGCTTAAGATGGGCTGGTCACGTATGCAGAATGCAAGAAAACCGCATACCAAAATCTCTGCTTTACGGTGAGCTTGTAGACGGTACGAGGAAGCCGGGTGGACAACTCAAAAGGTACAAGGACATTTTCCACGAAAACTTAAAGGGGATTAACATGCAAAATCATTGGGAAGAAGCAGTTCACAATATAACTCAATGGAAAAGAACTGTAAACTCAGTTAACAGCGACAACCAAAAAGTAAAGAGGCAACAAAGCAATGAGATTTTTGAATGTCCGGAGTGCGGAAGAGAGATAACATCACGTATCGGGCTTTTCAGTCACAGAAAAACTCATGAAAGAAAACGCCTTGCGTGACCATCTTTTGATGCGTGTCGAATACTCGTCAGCGAGTAATGGCAGTATGTATGTATCTATGTAGTATGTAAACTCAGCAGTTTTAGGATTTATATTAGTTCCCACTTGATAACGGTCAGTGCTACATTTGAACGAAACGTTTAAAACATTAATACTCGACCACTTTTAAATAACTATGAATGTCATTTGAAACTACATGTAAATTAAATTATTACCAAGTTGTTTAAATCGTACTCCAATTCAAGATCTACCTGACGTATGTAAAATATTCGGAAAATTATTTATTCTAGTACTCGGGTATAAAAGCAGATTACCAAAGACCATTATTCATAATTTTTGTGTTCATGAGATACACTTCTCTTTGGCGAACGTTGTGTAAGGCCCGTGGCACATTGCGCGTTTTTTCTGTGCTGCAGAAACGCGTGCATTTCAGCGGCACTGGAATCAAACAAACAAAACAACTACACAAACCGGCGCACAGTGGAGTATTTGATACCGATAGTTGATCGAAATTTTTTAAAGGAGACCTTATATAAATTATTGCTATTTTCAATTAAAGAGGAAATAATCTGAACAAAATAAAGGATAATTCGTCGATTCTAAAAAAAAAGAAAAATCACTGTTTCAGTGTTTCCACGGTCAATGCCACTAATGCCGCAAGTAGTAATATCGCAACTAATACTACTAATGCTACGACTGATCCGCGACCAATGCCCATACCACTAAAACCGCTACTAATGCCAAATTGGGCTATACTGCTAATAGCACTAATGCGATCGCTTTGTACACAATAGTGCCATCGCGGTTTACACCTCGCATTAGTATATCACTGATTTGCAAATTAGAAGAAACCAAGAATGTTTTTTCTCATTTTATCAGCAAAGTCGCAAAAAGTCGCAGTATTTTATTTTACTGTATGAAAGCCCAATGTTTACTAAGAAAAACGTATATAAACAATATGCTGAATTCTTCGAAATGCGCAACTAAATCTCTAAGTATAATAAAAATGTTACAAATGTAATCAAATTCTCTAAACGCCTAACTTTTAGTTGCAAAAAAAATCGTTAGTATAGAGAATATCAAAATAAATAATATGTTTTTGTAGAATATATACCTGCAGCTGCTGAGCCATTTTCAATCAAAACAGCAATATAAACGTAAAAGGAGCACAAGAACAACAACAATTTATAATTTTAAACATAAAATTTAGCCATTTACCTCTTATCTGTGAGAAGTAACAACTTTGACGTTTCGTTGAAACAAACGAATGCAACTAAACACACCCATAGCAACGCCATTCATGGCAGACATGATTTAACTTATCATTTATCATTTTTGGGAAATCTTAAACACATTTGCTTTTTCGAATTTCGATCGCCTTTTTCATGCTAATACTCCACTGTGCGGCGGTGCTGCAAATCGGCACTGGAATCAAACAACTACACAAACCGGCGATGCTGCGGCTGAGACGCATAGTGTGACATCTCCCATATGAAGTCGTCTGTTGTCGCCACCTCTGCGTTCTTACTGCAGTCGCAAAAAGGTGCAGAGTGCCACCGGGTTTTTAGTTATTACAGAGTTATTTAAAAAACATATTTTCCACATTTTCGATCTTAATCATACCTGACAAATTATGTAAAATAGCCAGAAAATTAATTATTCCTAAAGGAACTCGATATGAAAACAGACTACCAAGAACCATTTTGATATTCAAAATTTTCCAGTACGCGACACACTAACGCACAAATAAGGTAAATTCAGTATTCCATTAACTTTCTCTAGTATTATACTCTTTTTTTATTATTATACCCTTTTGTATTAAGATTTAGATTAGTTCACATTTGACGGTTACTGATACAACTGTTCGAAAAGCTATGTAAAATTAAAAAAAAACAATGTGAGCCAATGAAGATATTTTATTTCATAATTCACATCACAGTCTACTAATTTCTAATAAACTATGGATGATATTTGAAATTACACTTAAATTAAATTATTACTTAAGTTATTTAAATCATATATATATTTCAATTCAAAATATATCTGACGTCTGTAAAATAACCAGAAAAATCCATCAAATGAAAGCCGATTAAAGATCATTTTGATATTCACAATTTTCGTGTTCATGAAACACATTTCTATATGGCGAACATTCAGTTAGAAAATAGTATTGCTTTGTAAGGAAGTTACTATTTTTTTTATATATATTTAATTTTCTTTTTCAATTTTTCCGCCGATTACGAATTTTCTTTATTTAATTTATCTTTCTACTCTTCCGTACATTAGAAAAATTTTATTCTTTTTCGAGAAAATAGTACTTTTTAAATGAAATTTTATTTGTTGGATTAATGTACGGACCGAACTCATTAATTAGCCTAAAAAGCGCTAATTAATTAATTAAACGCATTCCACGCGCTCGATGCAGCCCGCTTGGTACCGCTGGTACTAGATCGGGTATCGAGAAGCGCACACCGCTCGGCGCACGCCGCCACCACGATTCTCAACTGAAGGAAAGGACTGGGAAAAATAAGAAGCGACGCGCCAGCCAGAGGAAGTCAGTTCCTGACCCAGCCACCAACCGAGGAGTTCCTACACCACCACCACCGACAGCACCAGCAGCAACAGTCGCCGCAGTCCGCCAAGCAGAAGCCAGCCCCGAGACACAGCCGCCGCCTAGCAGTTGGAAAGCCTGCCGTCCTCCGTCGTTTCTAATCCGCCGTCGCTCCGAAACCGCCCGCAAGGTAACCTTCAGGATTAGTATGGTATAGTATTGAGTATCGAGAATTTGTTGTTTATTTGGTTTTTAACTTTTTTTTTCAGAAAGGAATCCTGTACCGTGGCAAGGTCTTAAATAGTTTAGAATAAATTCCGAAAGTAAAAAAAAATATTTTAAATATCAATAGCAAATCCGTAAAATCAAATACACTTGAGTTATCAATAGGGACTTGGAAAAGCAAGTAAACTGTGAGTGTGATAGATCCCGGCAGTTTGCTTCAAACTCTAAATTCCTTATTGGTAATTTAATTAAAAAAAAATCATTAGGTCGGGTCTTAGATTTTGTTTTAATCACTTAAAACATATCTGGGTCGTTCATGAGGACTTGGTAAAATAAGTAAGTTGTGAGTGTGATAAATCCCGGCAGGTTGGTTCGAATTCCAGGTTCTTCATTGACTGCTTAGAGAAACTATCTTTAGTTTAATTCTTTTTCCGAAAACAATCCGCAGTAAAGCGTTCGGTCAGTTCTCTTAATAATTAAGCGGTGTATCTCTAGTGAAAATTAGGAAATGTGGGAAAGTTGTGAGTGTGATATATCCCGGCAGGTTTCTTACAAACCGATCCCTTCACTATAAATACACTTGCTGAACTCTTATAGTTTTCCGCATATCCTTTCAGTCGTAATTTAATTCTTTTTATTTTATTTCTTTTCGTTGTCATATTTAGACCTTAGCCCCGCCGTACTTTTTAATTTTAAATAAATAATTTTTGGAGTATTTTCTTATTCTCCCCGACATACCTTCAATTTAAATAAATAATTATTAGAACAATTTATTGTTAACTCCGAAACACTTTTAATTTAATTAAATAATTATTACAACATTTTCTTATTGCCACACCCGTATTTGTTTTAATATTTTGATTAAAACCTTTAATAGAATATTTTATATTCTTTTCACTAACACTCTCAAATAAATTTTGTTTTCTTTTCTCTTTCTGAATTTATTGACAAGTTCTAACATAATCTATAATTATTTTTTTATTTAAGAATAAATTATTTTTTTTATTAACTTGGGAGTGTCGTCTTTCCCCTCACAGTCTGTAGTTTTTATTAATATTCTTTTCTGTGTAGATTTGCTCCAACCCGGTGACGAGACTCTACGTATTGGAGCCAATTTAGGCGCTGGGTGTCGCAACCAGCCACTTACACATCGTCGTGCCTTCTGACTTTCCGAAGAAGACAGACATTTTTTTTGCATTTAAAATAAAGCTTTGACTTGTAAATAGTTTTGGAAAACACGACCTGCTCTTTATTTTATAACTGTTGATTATCGTTTAATTTATTTTCCCCACCTCTGAGCTAAAAGAACTGTAACACTGCCATACTTCTCCACTGTTTAAAAGCTACCCGAACCGGCACTAGTGGGCCTCTAACCACTTATTAACTAGAGGTGGCGCCCGAGATCTTCTAAGCAACAATACAAGAAACTTAAGCGTCAGTAACACAGCTCAGGAAGAAGCAAACGTTACAAATTTGGTGTCCGAGAGCAGGGACGTTGCAAATTTGGCATCCGAGAGCTCCGTTACAGCTTGGACGGAAAGTTTAAAAAATCACAACGGTTTCAAAATTATAACGTTCATATTTACTGATCCCAAGGCGTTAAACGCTATATACGGGAGCTATTATTATATTTACTGAACCTATTTTATTTGAATTATCGATGTAATACAGATATTTAACTCAGTGCATCCTCAAAATTAAATTGAATTATTGCAGTTACTTAAAACATATTTTGCAAAATTTCAAATTCAATTATACCTGACATATTATGTAAAATATCCAGAAAATTAATTATTCCTAAAGAAACTTGATATGAAAGCAGACTACCAAAGACCGTTTTGATATTCGAAATTTTCCAGTACGCGACACACATTTCTATTTGGCGAACGTACGTTCGAAAAGGTGTATCATCGCTTTGACGGAAATTCAGATAAAGCCGAAGCGAAATGAATGCGGTGGCAAAGCATCCGACGTGTTTTGCACTTTGGACGATAAGAGCTGCTGAAATTTCCGGCGCCGAAAAGTCGGCTTGGGATAGACGTGTTTAGTGTTTTTCCAAGACCAAACGACCTGATAACTGACAGACTTAGAGAAGATCGAGCGAATTTAAAAGCATCATCAATGATGCAATCGGCAACGAAAATCGATTGGAGCGCAAATAGAAACTTCATACCTACCAAAAATGTTTGAAAAAGTAATTTTGAATCCGTGTTTCTATACATACATACAAGGTAATTATTAAAATCTTTGAACTATAAATGTATTGTCTGTTATTTTCTCAATTAGTGAGTATTTTTAAAAATATATTAAAATCAATATTCTGTAATTAAGGTTTAAACTGTGGCATTATAAATTTACATTCCTTTCCTCATGAGCTTAACTATTAAATGCATATCTATATCACTAAAATTATATGAAGACTTGAAGTGAATGTCCTAAGTGTTGTTTATCTCGAAATAATGATTTTGGCACTTTAGAACATTATTTACTTCAAGTCTTCATATATTGTTTTTATGGTTAAACTACAAAAAGTAACTTCAAAAAAGTTTGTGTATTTTGCCACTGACAGAGAAATGTAAAAATAAAAAAAGTTATTTTTTAGCAGACCCCAAACGAAAACTACCTTTCAGTGGCTTTTGAATCGAAAAACAAATTTACCTAACCAACGTGAAGGAATTCAAAGGGTATTATCTCTCTCATCGTCACAAGCAAAAAAAAATAATAAAGAAAAGACTAATTAAAATGTCTAAAAATAACTGTTTAGAGATACATAAGTTTTTCAGCAGACACGTTAAATAAAAACCGTCGACGTTTTCAAATTTACAAATTACTACCCGATTAGAATTTCTGTATATTAATAAAAATTTTAATACTTTTTTACTTCTAATTTATATATCTACTAGCGTGTACCAGCGACTTCGTTCGCGTCGAATTAATCATTTGTAATGGTGTAAGCATAGCAAGAATTTCCATTAACATACAAACTGGATAAAATTTTCTCACATTTATGTCAGCATGAGAAAAAACAATATGGCGATATTATTATATAACTTGGTAATATTTGAAGGGTAGTTTCACCTCGTTGGAATTTGACTTTCAAAAAATTCAATTGCCAAAAATAAGCTTTATACGTCAAGCAGTTTAAGCAGAATCAGTTAAGAAATTACCCAAGTTTTGGAACACCCTGTATGATTTTTTAAAAAATTTCAAAATATGTAAAAAAACCAAATAAATTATGCTTGTCCAAGCGTTTTCCCGAAAGACTAACCGTTTTTTAAACAACAAATATTGTAATATTTGAGGGGCGTTTTCACCCTCTTGGAATTTGAGATTCGAGAAACCCCTCCTTATCGAACCTCTACACCCCACAGCCAATCCGTTCCAAAAATCAGCTTTAAACGTCAAGCAGTATAAGTAGAATCGTGATTACTCAATGGTCATATTTTATGAAACACCCTGTACAAATTTATAAAAAATCTTAAAATATGTAAAACAACAATATAAAAGATACGTGTTTAAGAGTTTTTCCGAAAAACTCACCGGTTTTTAAATAAAAAATATTTTAATATTTGAGGGATAGTTTCACCCCCTTAGAATTCGAGTTTCGAAAAATCCCTTCTTATCGAACCTCTACACCCTAAAGTCAATCTGTTTTCCAAAAATCAGCTTTTTACGTCAAGCGCTTTATGCAGGATCGTGATTAATCAATGACCAGATTTTTCGAAACACCCTGTATACATTTTTAAAAATCTTAAAGTATTTAAAAAAAATATACGTGTTTAAGCGTTTTTTCGGAAACTTGACCGTTTTTTTAAATAAAAAATATTGTAATATTTGAGGGGTGGTTTCACCCTCTTGGAACTGGAATTTCAAAAAATCCCTTCTTATCGAACCTCTACACCTTAGTATCAACCTGTATACCAATATTGAGCTTCTTACGTTGAGTGGTTTGAGCAGGATCGTGATTAATCAGTATGTCAGTCACTTAAGGATTTTATATATTAGTATAGATTTTTCTTATTATCGATATTTTACCAAACTTCGATATTACACTCACCGGTACGAAAAAATAATAAGCTTAATATATAATATAATAAAAAGCTTAATATATTTTGTCCTAATAGGCCGATTGGGGTGATTTTTAAACAATTTGTAGCTAAATTATTTGACTTTTTAGTGTCTATTTCTAAAATAAACATTAAAGTTTCCATCTATCAATTCTCTAGGTACATCTTTTCTCGATAGTTTGTTTTTTGATTCATCTTAATAGCTTTATTTTTGTTGGAAATATTCGTTATTGAATAAAACTGTGACGATTTAGAGCAATTTTAGCACTGACTGACATCTTCATGATATTTGTAAAATAGTGTTTATTGTTTTTGCAATGCCACTGTCATTGAAAATTCATATTAGTATTGTTTAGTGAGGTTTGCTCTAGTAGAGATGGTTCTAAGTTCTGAAGTATCGGCTATTGTTGCTTTAATTGAACATGGTAGAGATCAACTATTGGACTTAAAACCATCTCTGCTCGAATAACTTCCCAACAGACAATAATAACATGATTTTTCAAAGTCAGTGACATTACAAAAATCATAAATACTATGTTATAGGTCTGTTGACTAGGACGAAAAGCAACGGCCATTTAAAAGCCAAAATTAAAACCATTTAATGTGAAAACTTAAAACGCCTTCTTCAAAAGCGATTATCTCCAAAAAAATTAAAGCTATTGAGATTAATAAAAAAACAAACTGTCGAGAAAAGATACACCTAGATGATAAAATTATTTTTAAACTCCTTGCTTGGTTAATTTACTCCAAAGGGTGTTTCAAACTTTCACCAAAATATCAACACTTTGTTTTCCGTTTAAAAGGTATCTAAAAAAATAAAAATTATAGTGGTGAGCTATGATTTGAAAAACACCCGGTGTATATTTATAATTGTATTCCTATTCTAACCTTTAAAATAAAATAGTAGTTTCAAAAAATATATTTTCATAATCGCATAGAATATGATACGCATTTCGTATAACGTATGTATAAGAAAATACTCATCTCCTTAACGGAAATTCTGATAAGACTCCAGTCGAATGGATGTTTTAACATCCGACGTGTTTTGAACTCGGTTTTTTTTATCCAGATAAGCCCTGAAATATCCGACACCAAAAGAGGGAAATACCTTAGTCTTTTTTCTAATGACATCATCGTATAATGGAGTAATTCAAAAAAGGATAGATAATTTATTTATATAAGTTTATTTTTCGTATAAAAGTTTATATTATATATGTATTTACACAAAAATGACAAATCACTACAACAATTTGTTCTAGTTAAGCTTTAGACATTTCATTAACTAGTTATAAAATTAGATAAATCTCTTGTAGGTACCTATTTCTTCAAAGTTATTCAATTAGAAATCTTATCTAGAATGTTTTGCAACTTTATAGCGTTCTTAATCACTACCACTGTACGAGTGCTCCTATTGTTCAGAGAGCTGTTTATATTCCACTGGAGAAAGATTACTTATATAAAGATATTATTAAAAATGTTGGGCACCGTTGGAAGATACAGAGAAAACACAATTGTAGTTGCTTAAAATTAGTGGCTACGTTTGTTCAAGCGAACCCTGTTGATGGTAATTAACACTGTAAAATTTCAATAATTATAGTGGTCACATATTATGTCATAGAAGGTTACGTTAAAAAAGATATCATGTTAAATGAAAAAGACCAGAGAAAAATACAATATATCGCCGATCAATATTCTAGCTATACGAGTATTAACCCAACTCAAGTATTATTGGTGGCACCACGACGCCAAGAATGTTTCATTATTAGGATGGTGAGTAGTTCAAAAAGTGTGCGTCACGAGGACGCTAATTTTGAGGAAGCATTAATTGAGTAGTTTGCTGAACTTAAGAAACTTAAATGATATGAATATCATCAAGACATTTCTCCGAAGAGTAACCATAACTCCGACTCTGAATCTCTTACTTATAAAACAGAGAAAATTGAATAATCAATACCAAAAACGAAAGAGATGTGGTATATACAAACGGAGAAATGACAAAAAATGAAAATCTCATGAATCCAATGTGCACGATCCATGTGCGGCAACTGCAGATCCGATGTTAGCATGAAGTGTATTTGAAAAAGTTAAGTACATTCAAGGTTCGCAGTTTTGTTGAAATTAATTTATGTTTATTACTTTAGTTTCACATTTCAGTTGTTTATACTTTCAATAATACCGAAAAATCATAAAATATATATGTTTTTAACTTCTAGAATTTCTTAGCCAAGTTATACTTCTGTTGTCAAAAATTCCTAAAAAATTCGTTTTACTTTATTTTTGTGTCCTTTCTTATTAATTTATTAAAAATGAATTAAATTGTTTGTTCACAAGTTTGAATATATTGTAGACAGTGTAAAAATAACAAACTCTTTATAAAATCTCTTCAAAATTTATT